TGGTTGCCGCCCAGTTCCGCGCTCGCTCCGGAACCGGCCTCGAACGAGTTCCCCTCGGCCGCCTCCACTGCCTGTGGCCAGCTCAACTGGCCGTTTGGGCACCACAGCAACCATGCACTACAAACAGTCCTGCCTCGCACCAACTATGCCCTACAGACGGCGGATGAGGATGGCTTTGAGGCTGCAGATTACGCCGAAGCTCTATCGCGATTTCCCGCGTCCGGGCTGGGGACAGTCTGGAACAGACTGACGGATGGAGCGTATACCCTCAGAAGCGCCACTGCCATCCGACAGCAACGAGATGCAGGCGAATCAGAGCTGAGGATGTGCCTGATGGCCCTTGAAAAAGACATCACCGACCAAAGTATATCTCGGACGACCGTGAGACGGAGGTCAGTTGACGAATGCACCGAGGATTTGCCCATTAGGGGTCCTGTCTCTCGGCGATACCGAAAGGCAAGAGTCTATTTCCAACCCCAGCACACTGCCATTCTCGAGGCTGCCTACAACAAGGACAACTATTTGGCAAGCAAAGAACGAGAAGTCCTAGCCAAAATTGTTGGCGTATCAGAAGAAAGAGTAAGCCGACTATTTTTTATGTTTACTACCTTTAAATACCGACCTATGCACAGATAGCGAGCCGCATACTTATTGGAAGTCGGACCATCCTGGAGGACAGTTGTGGAATTTACGAGGACCACTAAGTGATAAAGACATACTCTCAAATACTATTTACAAGCGATCCGCCAGACTATTTTGAGAGTGATTTCGGCTATAATTTGGACGAATCACTTGTCTCATTGATATATTCAATAAAGCATAATTTTACTTGAGATCGAATCTTTGGAACCAATAGAAGGTCTTTGCGATGATACTGCAATTTAAAGATTATGCTGAATCCGTGTAGCTGAAGCGCTAGTAACTTCATTTGGTGCAAAACTTTCTACACTAAATTAACTTAACTTGAATAAGAGTCCCAGTTACTATGGGTTGTATAAGGTGATGAGCGATTGATAGATGCATTTTTCACAGGGGGATATTAGTTTTAAAATCTACTTTAAAAGGATATAAGTAGTCCTTACATTTCCCCTGACTTTCGCACATCCTTACTTTCCAAAATGTATTCGCAGACAGGCTGGACTAGACTGCAGTTTTGACCTCACATGGGCCTCATCGGCATCCATGGGATCCAGTTGGTACCCCTCAAACTGTAGGTTATTGCTTCAGGAGCAGAATAAAGCCATGGGTTTGTTATGAAAACTTCTCCTGCCTTTTGTTTGACCGCAGTTTATTGTTTAAGGCTGGTTTCTTTTGACCGTGCTATGCTCGTCGCATTACAACTAGCCATAAAAACTAGGTAATTTTACAATTATCCGAACTAATTTTAGGCCAACTAGTGAAATAATGTGGAAGTTAGAGGGAAAAGTTGGCCAAAAGGGATTCTCGTAAAGTGACTTCAGTGTGAGCCGACAGCGTGTGGCTTTAGATATTGGCGTGCCTTTCATTGTGTTGGAAGAGGTGGGCAGACGGGATTAATAGCTTGGCGTCAACGGAAATCGAAGTTGAATTGTGCTGTAGTTACGACCATTGGGCTATGTCAGGTTAGTCAAACCTTCTCCGCTTCCTTGGTGGCTCGTTCTGTCTTCTATTTATCTCTTTTTATGACTAAGAAAGTTGGTGGTATTTATTCGATTTCCGAATAAATTCTCTTAACTTTTTAGAAAATGTGCAGGTCAGTAGCATCAAGAACCTAAACGAAGAGTTGCCCAATTCCTTGTCTTGCCCTAAATAGTTGTTTCCTCTCTTCCTATTTCTTAATACTGGAAACTTATTGAAAATTTATCCAGATGAATCTTTATTATTCCTTCTACCTCTGATATCATGACGCCTTCTTTAGTCACATACGAATGATTAAAGAGGACACTAAGAAAGGAGCTCTCATTTGTGGGTCTTTTATGCACATACCTGCACAATTAATTCGTTTTTTCCTAACCACGCGATAATTTAATAGCCTTTTCTAACTACATCATGAATTCTCTCGTTATACCTATTCTATTAATTGGCGTTCCTCCTGACCCTACTGTGCTGCCAAATAACACTGTAGTCGTCAATATATTCCTGAGCTACAACCTAGAGACTATGAGTATTTCATGAATTAGCCGAACCTCCAAGTAGGCCATGTAGTTATTCGCGAAACATAGAGGTAAACACGATCTCATGGCTAAATCTCGATTTTGCCATTACCTATTAGCACTACAGGCATAATATGCAATATTACAAATTTAGTAAATCTGATGTTATTCCTACATAAAGCCTATGCCGCTCCACCTATTGGACTATTAGTAACCATCGCTACTGCATCAAAACTTACAGAAAATTCTTCCACTTCTATCATTTGCTCATCATTCAATTCAGCAAAGTCAATATAATCCTTTATTGAAGTCTGTCCTTCGCCTTAGTTGGCCACAAACCTAGATATGAGGGATATTCACCCTATTTCGTTTCTTGTAATTGAATTATACCACATTTCACATATCCTTGCTTCCCGAAAGTTATTCTCATCCAGGCTGAAGTGTACTGCAGTTTTCACCTCGCCCAATCCTTATCAACACCTTCAGTGGGACTCGAAACATGGCACTGCAGCGTGTAATCTCGACACTTCAGCCACCACGCCCCAGTGACACGAGTGCCCTTGGGTCGCAGGGCAAATGTGAATATCAAGGAGGGACGGGAATTTTTCACCATCACATTCTTTGGTGGGAGTGTTGATGAAGAATTGTTGTATTTGCTATCGCAATCGGCCAAAGTACTTATTTTTCGTTTATAAGCAGGTTTTTGAAACCAGCAGTAGAATATATAAAAATGAGATGTATTCACACTATTTCGTTTAAAATGATAGGAGGATTAGTAATTGAATTTACCCACACTGATATGAGCAGAACATAAGCTTACATTGAATTTCACATAGCCTTGCTTACCAAAAATATATTCTCATTCAGTCTCGCCTATGTACTATGGTTCGAGTCCCACTGGGCTGATGCTGAGACAGAGGCATGGTCGAAACTACACTTCACTCCAGCCGGGATGAGATTACCTTTTAGGAAGCAAGCCTAGAGAATTCCAACGGAAATGTAAGGCTTACCCATCATTGTGGGAAAATGTAATTGTCCCTAACCGTCTTAAACCATGTAGAATAAATACCCCTCATCAGCTTCATAAACTCTTTAGCAACGAAATATTATACAATCCATATTGTTAGCAATGATCTTTGCCAATTTTGGGCAACATCAATCCATTTACGGACTTTTCGAAGCCCAACTATTTTCCACATGGGAGATTACTTTGGAGTTTTGGCAAATCAACGGGCTTCATTTTGCGACTCCGATGCATCTGTACTAAGTCGCTGATGGCACTGCCTAAACACGAAAAAAATAACCTATACACTAGACCATTACAACGGTAGGCTTTAACCATAGGAAGTACTTATTCCAAATTTTGCCATCTAAATAACGCCTTCCATGATTTGCTTGGGTAATTCGTGCCTAATTTATACATTTACTAAATAGCAAAGTTGGCGCATAAATAGGATGTGGATGTGGTAACCGGTATTTCCTTACATGAGTTTGACTCTACAAAGTTGATCCGTGTATGGGATAAATGCGTTTTGTGTGTATGAAATGCCCAGAGTTAGATTTATGGCTAATCGAGTCTCTAGTTTGGGGACTTTCATGCTGCCCCTCCCTTTCCCTTCGATTTCCACTAAAGCCAATCTACCAATCACTTCAAAACAACGTCGACTTCGAACTGAATAGTCAAACGACATTGCATTATCGATAGATTATATTTATATATTAAAACTGAATTACTTACTAATCCTCTGATAAAAGTGTAGCGTAAATTTGGAGTGACAGACTTGCCCCGTCAACCATTTCAACCTTGTACTTGATTGGCATTTTGACAATACCGTCTAGCAGATGACTTGTACTGATCTGGACGACCAGGCCATGAGAATGAGTCAAAATGTGTATGACTGTGACAATAATTGTTAAGTTGCAAACGTGAATGAATCGACGTGATTGAGTTATCAATCCTCAGGGACTCCCCTCGGAACGCCGGAAAATCAGGCTCCGAAGCCTGCTAGAATGCAGCAGAAACAGAGCCAGTTTAATAATTGGCAAGAGAGCAACACTATGACATTGCTTATGCAGCAAATGTCTGGCTTTTCAGTCAACTGGCTACTCTACATCGAGACCAGCATGAACAAAGCATACACTAATTGCTACTGACATATTTGACCCGAGGCTTTTTTGTCTTTGTTGGGCTAGCAAATGCATAAGATTAATCTTCATTTGCCCTCATCCTCCTATACACAACTAGGTCTACATATGAATTTATATTGAAGATAAATCTTTGCTCAACTATTTTCTTTTCGCTTTTCATTTTCAGATTAGAACCTGGTTTCAGAATCGTAGAATGCGAGAAAAGCGCCTATTTAAGTGAGCTCAGCCTGTGAATCTGTTGAGTTGTACTTTCTTACCTGATTTTTTATCGAGCATAAATGCATAATATTCTTCTGAAGCTGATAACTTTTCTTGCTTATCTACCTTTTTCATCCAAAATGCCAATATGCGGGTGTGCACGACTCTTCATAGCAAACTTTTCAAAATATGTAATTCCTCTCCCAAGTTAAGGGCATCTGTCACCATTTCCGAAAATGTTACAGCTCAGCATTGCTGAATGATGAGCAGAATGACTCTTTGTTCTCCTTAAATG